CAAGTTTACCGAAAATTCGCGATATAAAGAATAACATCGCATTCAACATCATTCATGAATGTCATGATTTCCCCGAGAACTGTGAATGTATATTCCATGATTCTCGAAGTGAAATTCGCTTACGTCGCTTGTTTGTTTACGATCTGACGTCAAAAATATACGTTCCAAACAAATGAGTCATCCGCTGCACCAACAAGCTACCAATAGTCAATATGGTTATGCACTGCTAACAACCATTATGCACGGCTAATGACCATTATGCACTGCTAATGACCATATAATGGTCATTTTACCATATAATGGTCATTTTACACAATGGTTGAGAATTACACAGTTGAGAAATGAGTCACAGTCCCAAACATTTTGACGAAATAACATCTTTATTTTCGGCAAGTTTGTCCTTTCGGCAAACTGTCCTTTCGGCAAACTGTCCGTTCGGCAAAATGTCCGTTCGGCAAAATGTCCATTCGGCAAAATGACCGTCGGCAAAATGCCCGTTCGGCAAAATGTCTTTCGGCAAAGTGTCTTTCGGCAAAGTGTCTTTCGGCAAAATGTCCGGGTACCATACTTTTGTATTGCGTGCGGAAATTGCTACCACATTTGGGCCGAAAATGCATGGTATAGCAATTTCCGTACGCAATATATTAGGCTATATTTCCCTCATTTTACAACATTTCACAGCCAAACCATTTCGCAATTTTACTCATTTTAGTATTCTCTTTCTAGCTGTGGTGATTTATTTGCATCTCCTTGCCCAGCTTTAAAATAGTATATAATGGGAATTGTCTATTAGCAGTAATTGTGTCAACTCCAATTAAAGGGTTATTTTATCACGACCGTTTTTGGTGACAGAACAACACTTTTGAAGTTGATTCAAGTGCTTGAAATTTACAGTGTAACTATTATCCTTCGAAATCATCTTAGCAACCAAAAATAGAAAAAATCGTATGATATTGCATTTACCATTAAAAATGCATTAGCATACATAAGTGCATGCTCTTGAAATACGAGAACATTTCAAAGTACACACGCTTTATCGCGCGCTTAAGTCATTTAAAGTCATACATGCGCATGCATGCATCTAAGAAAATATATGTTTTTCAATAATTCATAATGAATGAATGTGTATGCATGGCAGTTATTTCAGCGATTTTTGAACTTAGGCTACCTATTTAATTTTCCTAATCGTGGCCTTCGTGGGGATATCATCAACAAGAGGCAATGTTTTTTTTGTAGCCTATATCGAGTAATTACGTGCTAAAATGCGCTCAAACCATGCCCTTGTATATACCACTCAAAATTATATTTTTATAGTTTAAGCTTTTTTTGTCTAGTTAATACAGCTGGGTCTCTTTTTGAATGCATCGGCCTGCAGTTAAGAAACATAAAATAAGAATTAAATGCTGTACGTAGAAGTTAAATAGAACTATTAAATTAATGTTTTGAAATCAGTATAAATACAACTAAGCCTAAATTTGAAACGCTTGAAATACTTGAGCTTTAAAAACTTCTTTTACTTATTTACTTATAGCTATAAATGCTAGACTAAGTGCTACATGTTCGTTTAAACAATTGTTTAAATTTTTAGTTTGCACTCGACAAGCGGCTCTTACTATATGTAGGGCTTTCCAATATGACCTTCGACTGCCTTTCCCATGTACTAATCCCGGAAAAAAGATTTCTTTACAAAATATAGTGCTATCATTCCTTCCAAAAGAACATTTCTTTATGGTGCTTTTATGCCGCAGATTACGAATGTAAACAAGTTCCAAAACAGTTATTTTTTAAAATAACTATGCATATAGTATATATACAATATACATGCATGCAAGCTTCAATCAAAAATTGTTTTTAATATGCTTAACGTTTTTAATTATCCTGAAAACCTGTTTTACAACAATTGTAAATATGTACTAAATTGTAAATGCATTTATTGGTTGAGAGGAGTATAGTACAATTATATGATTTTCCCAAAACAAACAAAATGGCGGAAAGGAATTTCAAACACAAATGTGAAATGAAATTGCCCTAGAGGAACTAGATAAAAATACAAACAAAAGTACCAAATTTTGCTTTAACAAAATAACTAAATGAAAATACGAACAAAAGGACCAAATTTTGGTTGAAAGTCTGGAGCGACTGTGCTTTGACAAGAGAATATGATGTTGACATTGAGAAGTATCCAATTTTGGCATGCTAATAATAAACAAGTGGCGAGTCCAAATTCAGGGTTCGTAGTCTCCAAGGCCAAAAAAATTCAAAGACTTTCAAAGATTTTTTCTGCCTATTTTCAAAGACTTTTCAAAGACCTTCGAGAGCAATCAGCTGCGAAAAATTGCGAGTATAAGCACCATTTTTACCCGGTAGTTAGTCCCATCAAATCACATCCTTTATTTGCGAAAATCTTGATTCAATCAATCAATTTTATTAGCTAGGAAATCATATAATCAATTCCTCACTAAAGAATTTAAAGACTTTTAAAGACTTTCTTCGCTTTTTCACACAATGTAAAGACTTTTCAAAGACCTCAAAGACCTGCATTCCAATTTAAAGACTTTCAAGGATTTTAAAGACCGCTACGAACCCTGTATTTGGCAAAATTTCCAAACATCACGAGTACTATTATTAACTCCCTAATTGTACGAGCAACATCGCGTGATTACTATACTAACAAGACGCCTGCTCAGGCCTCAAACTTGCACGTCACAGCGTAATAGAAAACTAAAAGAAAAGAAAGTTTGGAATGCGTCTCACTAAATTTGCGTTGCAGATTAATAATATCACTCTCGCGTGAGCAGATTTTTAAAGCCCGCTCCGCCCGTGCGGGCAAAGCGACTGCAATGGAAACAGTGGCGCCGCCAACTGGATAATTGGGGGGGGGCGAATATTCATATCTTCGTGTTCTGCATTATTAACTTCTTTTGAAATCGATTGTTTTTATGGTCTGTGAACACAAATATATGAATATTCGCCCCCCCCCCCAATTATCGAGCCGGCGGCGCCAAAAATGTGTGAAGCTTAACCTTAATCGCTTTTCATCGATCTTCGAAGATGCCTGATGTGCTTAAAAAATTGTACAAAATTAAGGCAAATTGACACCGACTCATGGCTTGTGGAACGATATAAAACAAAATCTAAAAGTTTTTAATATGAGTTATTAATTATTTACAAGAAGGATTTATATAGCCTGGAAACTAATATGTTCTTACATGCAAGGTTTTCTTAATATAAGCTGCTCAACAAAACTAAAGGCTGGTATAATTAATGCCCCCTAGCTTATATAAAATATCTATAAAATATTTATAAAATATTTGTTAAAACAGTAATGCATCCTTTTACAAAATACGCGGTGCAAAACACTAAGCAGCTCTCTGGCAAAAGTCTATACCTTTTGACTGCACTTCATAATTGCAAACACACTTAGAAACTGGTAACCCTGGTATGGGGGGCTAGGGAGTGCTATCACTTGCCCAAGGTGAACTCCCAGACTAGCGGAGGGAAGGAGGCGTCTTACTTCTCCATTTTAGACTGGCTCCAAGCGAAGTCTAACCGCTTCCCGAAAGCGGGTAACCATAATCCAACTTATAACCATAATCCAACTATTAGCACTATACTAAATTGCTTATGGATGAAAACACATATCTCATCTGTACAGCCAGGAAAGGATTTTGAATCAGCCCGCTTTCGTTTGTTTTCAAGTCACTTATTACTTAAGAGTATTTGGAATGGCGTACACGAAAGAAATCCATATCACCAGTTAGCGTAGGTATCGCAAGGATAGTTCCTTTTGGAGACAGTTTTGAGTGAATGACTGACTGAGCGGGAAAATGTCGTTGAAAAGACGATCCAAGAGATTTGAGACTCTTCAAGTCAAACATTTCTATCAACTTCGAAGTTACAAGAACTAAATCTGTGTTGGTACAAAACAGTTTTGCAGGCACACAATGATAATATGGTATGAAACGGCCGTCAATCACGTGGTCTTTGCAAACTCCACTATCCACGTCAATAAAAACAAAACGTTGGGGTGCGGGCAAAAAGGAAACAGCAAATTTCGAATCATCAGTGAAACACCAATTACTAAAATAACATAAAGTTGGATTCTGGAAAGCAATATAGACACTATACACAGCTGGATCAGCTTCATTTCTTTTCCAGAGACAAAAGCATGTGTAATCGGCACCTAAGACAAAGGAAGCGCTATTCGAAACTGCAATACTCATCATCGGACTGATTCCAGGCAAGTTGACAATTTTTGGGAACCCCATTTCGATAACATCGACAACTTTTACAGGTTCCGTTTTACTGCGCTCGAAGCTTATGTAACCTTCAGAAAAATCTAAAATTCCAGAAAACGGCAAAAACTCTTTTACAACTGGACATAGTGGCATTGATAGCATCTTATGGATTATGATCATACCGTTTTCATCAACTGGATATAATGACAAGCTAGGAATATCTTCATTAAAATGGCAAACAAACAGGTATTTCTCCGACCACCAACAAGCAGCTGACGATGTTCCAATGTTGCTTCTAAAACGTTGATAAACTTGGGAGGTATCAACGTTCCATAAGTTGATAAATCCGTCTGATGCACAGGTGGCAAGTTGGCTGCCATCAGGGGAAAAGGCACACCAAAGAACACGGGTCAGACTTGACAAACACGACTGATTCTCCTGCGGTGGCTCTGAAATAAAAACAATCAACTTATCCTTGTCGGTATACAACCATAGGTCATCTTCAATCGCTGTGATATCAATACAGATTCTATCATATTGTAGAAAAAGCCCCCATGAAGCGAGAGTAGTTAAATGGATGCTTTCAATGACATGCAAATACTGTTCATCTAAATGAAGAATACAGTCAACATCATTGTACATTCCAGTTGAGTTACCTAACCTTTCCCAACGAATTAATTCTTTATGACTCTGACCAATACAACGACTACATATTTCACTTCTTCGAAAGCCATCTTTCTCTCTCACATTTTTACTGGATAAGCTTCTTAGATCGACTCTCTGAAATGTAATGGCACTCCACACACAGTACGAATCTTCTGTATCTCCAATGATAAAAAGTCCTGTTTTGCTGAAAGAACAGCGATTTAGCGGAACGTCTGCACAAAGAACCGACACCAAACTTTGTCTACCAACGTCCCATAACGTTACAGTATTTGAACCATTGTTGGTTACCAATCTCTTACCATGTGGAGAAAACGAACAAGATTTGAACTTTTCCACTTTACCATTAAAATACGATACTTCCTTTTTGCCAGCAATGCTAAGTGCCGTTCCTAGCTTTCCATACAAAACAAAGCAATCTTCTGGAGAAAAAATGCAACAAGATATGCTTTCGTACCCGGTTGGAAACTGGAATAATTCAATCAGTTCTGGTAAGCTTAGAACACAGATTGTTCCACCTTTCAATGCAACTGCTGCTAACTTCTTATTCGAAGACACACCAATAGCTGTAATGGGAGATGAAAAAAGCTTGGCTAGGTGCAACTTCAAAGATTTCCTCTCAACCGAATGACGCTTCACGTGCTGAGAAAATGTCCCTAAAATTACTTCCGCAATTTTTCTCTCGTCATCAGTGAAATGGCCTTTCGGGGAATGTTCAAGGACAAGTTGTAAATAAACAAAAGATGGGTCCATCAGCTCGAAGTGCATGCTGTAAATTTCATAAAAGTGCCATGAAATTCGTTGTCGTAACCGAAGGCTTATAGCTTCACGACTACGAAGAACATCCCCCCACAAGAAATATAAATAATCACCCCTTTGGGGATGGTAGGTTAAAATGACATATACGATTATCATATCCACGAGCCAGTGGAAACTCTCCTTCATATTGCACGCGAGTAGATACATATGTCCGTATTCCAGAGCATGCTTCACTTCGTTCGTTAGCTTCAAGAGGAGCCCTGAGGTAACAATGCTTTTTATTTCTTCAAAAATCTGTTCGCATAGGAGCCACAGCCGTCTTTTACCATCACTGACTTTCACAGTATACTCGTGATCGTCATCGCCATTTGCTAAAAGCCAATCATATACGGATTTATGGAAAACGGTCACCATGTCATTCGAAACATACAACACGCAAGATAACGCTTCGTTGACTTTGTTAATAATTCTCTTGGTTTCACGACAATCAAGATCTAAACCAAAAGCCCGGGCTACGAACTTCAGGGGAAGTGATTTGTTGGTAGCTACAAGTAGTTCAAATAGCTTAAACAGATCGGGCTTTTTCTTCATTACTTCTTCAAGCCCCATCTCAAGGCGACGGAAATATTCTTTGTACACACAACCCATTTCTTTAGGAAGGAAAAATATAATCTCGCGAAAATGTATCGTGTCGAGATCGTCACGTTTACATAGCTCATGCTGAACGTGAAACGCATACAGAAACGAACCCTCGCACATCTGAACAATCGCACGGAGAAAATGGTGGGCTTGTGTTGACACATTCAATGCATCTCTGGCTGCAAGATTTGGAAGGTAAACTTTCAGATATTCTAGAAGGTCTGATCTATTCTCCTCAATTTTTGCATCAACATCTATGATTTGAATACGCTGAAGTGTTTGTAAGGAAAGCTGCGGTCTGCTGGTTAATAGGACTTTCACACACTTCGGAAGATCTGGAAAATAATCTGCAATCAATTTCACCATGGCGCTTTTATCATTGGTTGCACTCTCATCCAAGCCATCGATCACAATTAATCTGGGTTCTACTTCCAACTCATCAAGCGGATTCTGCAAATATATTTGAAAGGCATCCTTTAAGCTGTTGACCTTATGAGGTCGGTTTAGCTGATCAAGAAGCTTTTCTTTAAAGCCAGGGACATTTTCACACATGTGACTTGCGAGAGACTGGAGCATCATTTTTGGGTCTTTTAAATTTGAATCGCTAAAATCACAAAAATGGCAAGCAGCAAACTTCCCTTTTCCTCTGAAGAGGTCGCAAGCTTTTGCAGCAAACACACTCTTGCCAGACCCAGGCCTGGCAGTTATAAGCAACAATCTCGATTCGTCTTCTTTTGTAAACCAATTTTCAACCATCTCTAATAACCAGTTTCTTGTGCCAGGATGAAAAAATTCGAGTTCGCTTCTTATTTTACTTTTGAAATTATGCTTTGCAAGTTGTTGTAATCGAACGTCCTCGTTTTCACTTCGCTTCAAACTGCTACTTCCCTCCGTAATTTGCATCAAATGTTGCATCATATTTTGTAGCTGTAAATTTGATTGTTGGATATCAATTAGCATATCCTTAGAATCTGTTTCTTTTAAGAACCACTCTTTAAGACTCTGCACATAGATTTCTTCTTCGCCACTTAAAGGACAAATTTTCAAATCATCGATGTCTTTTTGTTGAATGTTCAAATCGATCAATGCCTGCGAAATTTTCTGCCATAAATTCTCAAATGCTGTTTTATCTACTTGAGCTGAAGCGACATGGGCAAAAACTTCATTTCTGAAATATTTAATTCTCAAGATATTCGCTTGTAGAGATCTATCTATGTCCGGAGGCATCATTTTCCAGCCTGTGGCTGGAGGGGTAACGCCACAAATGTTCCGTAATAGAATGGTAAGTAACGTAATATCAAAGGTTTTCGAGTCTGGTGGGTTGCCGGATGGCGGGAACAGTAAATCCCACTGTATATCATTGATAACTCGATGCTTCCATCTTAGAAGCGACGTTTTTTTCGCATTAAGAACAGCAGGTAGATTAGCAGAAGGATGGAACGCATTCAAAGTATTTCTCAAAGCTTCAGTTCCTTTGTCCACCAAAAGTCTGCTAAGTCTAGTAAAATTTGCTTTTTCTTCCAGATTTACAGAAGCCATGGCATTGATGTAGCTGCAAAATATATAGAATAGAATAATGTCAATATTTTATCAATAATAACTCACTTACTGTCTATTTCCAAGTTTTATCTATTGTGTATAATATAACAGTTTTTGGATAGTATCTTCAAATAACAAATGTGATTTAATTTATATACTAGGTGCTGTTGTGAATATTTTGAAATGTGTTTTCGTATTAGAATGTTGGATAACTAGCACTTAGCAGTTAGTTCTACTCTTTTAGTGAACTGTTGTATACAACAATTACAATATACACAATAATTTGGTGACTAAATGCTCATACTAATTGCTTTGCCGTACTACGGTTTTCAGAAAAAGCATTGCATGGTTGGTTTTAAACCCACAAGCAAACAAACAACATAGACATAAAGTATACAAAATGAAGTGTGAAATCTTAGAATGCTATCCCGTTATACATAACATATAAAATTATAAAACGTTGGATTCAATCCTTCTGGTCAAACTTGCATGTTAATAAATTATGATATTCTTTCTATATATTTTGACTATTACACACTACAATTTACCTAGATGTATACTTGGTGGTACCTATAGATGGTACACTTTACCTATATATGTATATATACTATCATACTAACATGCAAGTTTGACCAGAAAAAGTGAATCCAACGTTCTATAATACTATATATCATGCATGTTTATACGGGATAGCATTGTAAGATTTCAATTCATTTTGTATACTTGGTATTAACCAAGTAAAGTGGCAATTAAGTATATATAAATAAAGATTACTGTTGAACTTTTGCAACTTCATCAAGAGTATAGAGAAATATGCGGGTACTTTTTTAAAAATTCACAACACAGCACATCTTTAGAAGTGCAGCTATAACCGAAAGCATATAGGGCCTATAGCTTATAGATTGTGGCTCGATCCATGGCATTTGTTGCCTCGTTAGAATGTAGATCTATGTTTTAGTGTTTTGGCTATTGCATGGCGCAAAAAATCTGACCTTCCTTGACTACACCTCCAAATTTTCAGCAATCATTGCCAAAAAGCAAATGATTTTAAATTTCGGCACCGATTGCGCGAAGCTTTGCGTTGCCATCGCATATTATGATACACAAGCAATTTCTCTCTCGTGATGGCAATGCAAGGATTTTAACACCATTGCATTGCCGTAGCCAGACAAATATTCCCGTATCATCAATAGCTTTAAATTCACTGCTATAAGGAAGCTGCCTACCTGGAGTAGCGAGCGGGATGTTCGCGGAACCAGTACGTGGACTATCTCACGCAACCGCACGATCAAAACAAAACAAAAATTGACCGGGCTTTTTTTTTCTTAAAAAAGCTACTTCTGAAAGCTATTTCTGAAAAGATTCTAATGAAAAAAAAGCGTTGAATATAATACTTCGTTTTGAGTGCCAAGTCAATTGCGAGTCTATACAGCAATTCTACATATGATACGAATATCACTAAACCAGAAAATAGCTACGAAACAATGTTTAACTTTTTTTAAATATATATACACTGTCAACTGTAAAACATTTGCAAAATTGTACACAAACGTTTAATAAACGTTTAAAAAGTTGTTTACTTCTCAAGAAAACGTTCACAAGTCGTGTTTCTACAAGATTAAAGTGATTATATGTAAACAGAAAAATATCACAGTTCATAGCCTAACTGTTGATTTTTAGCAAAAAGTTCCAAACCAATTAAAAAAACACGTCCACCTGTTATTTTGTTAAGCTGTTGTAGCTCATAGTCGTCATAGATTGAGTTAACGGCTGGGTTCAACCAGAGACGCCGGAAGATCGATAATTGGGGGGCAGATATTCATATATTCGTGTTCGGCCCAATTAATTTCTTTTGAAATCGAGATTTAGTCAGATTTTAAAATCGATTGTTTTTACAGTCTGTGAACACGAATATATGAATATCTGCCCCCCCCCAATTATCGATCTTCCGGCGTCTCTGGTTTCAACCTTATAGAGGTTTTGTGCTTTCATCGATTTGATCCTTCACAATATTCCTTGGCTGTCCATGGCACTCAAATAAATCGAAAAGTTGACAGAAACAAAACAGTAAAAACAACATTGCCACTCGATTTTGCTGGATGAAAGCTCGTGGTCTGCGCCCGCATACAATACTTTACTATAGACAGCGACGCTTTTATATAAGGGGAATTTCTCGAGTTACACGAGTGTTTTTTACAACTTGAGTTGCATTTTACTCATTGTAGTTAGTAACCTATCCTCAAATTTTGAAATCAGAAATATCAGAATTCAGAAATGTATCAATCGAGTTTATATATGCGCTATGAATTGATGTTATATGTGCTATACATTGATTTGTTATGTGCAAATATATCAGTGTCATAAACCGATACAACTAAAACATAAACCGATACAATTAAAAGATGAGGAAGCCAAAGCAAATACAACTAAAAGATGAGGAAGCGGAAGAAAATTGGAAAAACGGAAGTAGATCTGTTTGGCAAAATTGCGCGTGCCAATTAAGCCAGAAGCGCCAAGTGAATATATATTGAAAACTAATGAAAAGCGCTCTGAGGTCCGTTCGTAATTTTCAACAATAAAGTAGGCTATGTCCAATTCATTTCGCAAACTATTTAAATTAAATAAGTGTATAGTATACATAGATTGTTGATTAAAAACTGCTCCGTTGGGTATGATTCGGTGATTCTTGTTCCTAACATTCTTAATGCGCGTTCATAGTCTTCTAATCTACGACCATAAAAGTCTGGCGAGTCACGATGAGTGCGACTGTGTTCAGCATTTCTTATTAAATTAACCAAGTTTCCTGTGTTAAGGCGGTTTTCCACTAGGCGAAATTTTTCGACCGAATCGAAATTTCTCTTTGTTTCATGAGCTCTCAAGCAGAACTAATTGTAAAAAGACAAAGAGAAATTTCGTTTCGGTCGAAAAATTCCGCCTCATGGAATCAGGCCTTAAGGCGGTTTTCCACTAGGCGAAATTTTTCGACCGAATCGAAATTTCTCTTTGTTTCATGAGCTCTCAAGCAGAACTAATTGTAAAAAGACAAAGAAAAATTTCGTTTCGGTCGAAAAATTCCGCCTCGTGGAATCAGGCCTTTAGGAAGCCAAATGCGTGGTCCAACAGACATCATTGTTGTATGTCGGCGCGTCGCTCTACTTCTGCAGTTCCGATTTACTTTTTTAGTTGTATTGGTTTATCTTTTAGTTGTATCGGTTTATAACTGATATATTTGCACATAACATCAATTTATATAGCGCATAAACTCCATTGATACATTTCAAATATTTTGTCCCCTAAAAAACTTCATAATTATCATGTAGATGAAATAGTGTTGATGGAAGCGCTATCAAGGATTTCGTTACAGTAAAAAAATTTCCCACGGAGCGTGATAATTTGTATATTTTGTATTGCGGAAATGGACAAAGTTGACCATAAATCCTCTTTTATGCAGTCAATTTTGGGTTTTTAAGTGTGGAACTTGTTGTCAATGATGCCAGATCGTTGGAGATTCATGTGAATAACGGGTAGGCAAAATTTAATTATTTTTTCTGAAAATATTAATATTTGTCGATCCGTATCAAGGGCGGCCATATGACAACTATGGACAAACCATTGTGATTTTTCAATATTTTGCTGTTAAATATATCATGTTGTGTGTGGAATTAAGATTTTGATGCATATTCATATATAAATATAGTTCCACCAATTCCAAATAAGACATTTTGAGCTAGTATCGCCATTGCTTCATGGCAAAATTGTAAATGTATTTGTAAAAGACAGCAACATTGAAAAACATTTTAGTCACAGTTTATCAATTATGGCAAAAGTAGTCAATATAAGACATGGAATGAATCAAAACAAAAATGGTTCTTACTTCTTAGTATGTGTATATTTATTTACATACAACATATCATGTATTATTTTATAGTTCCATGGAATCGCATCAAGATTAAAATGTATTAGAAGCTAGAGAACAATTGCAACATTATATTCGCAGGTAATATAACGTAATTGCTATTGTTTTATGTAAATATAGTTGATAATCCAATTGTATGAATGCTTCAAACTATCTTTAATTGATGTTAAGAAATATTTCTTTCTATTGAGTCCTGTGAGTACAAGACCTTTTGCTTTTAATTCAAGCAATCAAACTGCCAAATTACTGTAATTATTAATAGGTCATTGTTTTAATACAGTAATTTGCATTTTAGAACTGCTTTATGGGAAACCCTATTTTGTAATGACAGTCAGCAGCCAATCAACTCTTTCCTTCCAATTTTGAAAGTTATGTGTGGAATGAACCCGAAAACCCCCGCCAATTTCACCAGAGGGTTATTCAAAACAGGCAAAAATAAATGCCCTATGGCTCCAGGGTATAAGGGACGATATTTAATAGTCAAATAGGACAGTTGAAATGGGAAGGATTAAAAAACTGATAAAAATGCGTGTAAAATATTGTTTCTTTTTTTACTGGTTAATATATAGGAACTATTAAAGATAACTGGACGGATCATTCAGGTAGTTGAACAACAGAAATCAGGCAATAACTTATTTGATTTGCAAAAAATAAAATTCTAAATAATTAAATACCTATGACATTCATTGGCCTACGTTTCTGGGAGTGAAACACCAATTCAAGTGCAAACTGCAAACCAATTAGCGAACGATTGAAAACAACCAACAGCTTATCTACAAAAGTTCAAGTAAAATCCGAATATTGCATGAAAGAGACACTTTACACCATCACCCGCCCCCCCCCCCCCGTCAACAAAGTGTGCTCCACTTTCAAACTTCAGACTGGAAACTTCACGTTGTTGCACAGCTTTAATCAAAATTTTGCACAGTTTCTTTCCACAAGGGAAAGGATCCACAATATTGTAAAACTGCAATGTAGGCTGCCTTTTTGGTGTCAAAATGACATAGACTGGTTGCAATGGGGGCAGAGGGCAATGCAATACATCCTTCCAAAAAGTGAACAGCTTTGTTTTTGTAATAGAGATATTGGGTTTAGAACCATTTATCTTGTTGTAGATGACACACGTGCGAAATCACATACAGTTCTAATAGATGATCTTAAATATCCCAATATAATTAGGTGGTCAGTAACAGGACAAAGGGCTCCAAAGCTGAGATTGCAATCATGAAAACGAGGTTCTCCAGCCCAGGGTAGTTACTTTCCGGAAGGATACTGTCTACAAGTACAATTATAGGAGAAATGTATTTGATGACAGCACCGTTTTTTTTGCCCATTAAGCCACAATTTGTGACAATGTGCCCAATATAATTGTTTTGTTTGTGGAAACACCACGTAAATTTATTACTGCAAAGCTTTCGACCCGTAAGCCCGGATCTTCATCAGTGCCATAGATTAAGTAAGAACAGATGTGTAACTTCAGTAAAAAAGTTGTCCCACGGTCGCCATCTTCCTAGCAAGTGTCGCTCGCGTGATAATTCGTAATTTGGTAATACGTCATTGCTTTCAAAATGCTTTCAACACCTTTTCCACAACTTTAATTGCTTTTAACAACTTTAAACATTCAAAAAATGATGTTCTTGATTGTTTAATCCATAAATTTCGATCCAAAAAAGCCGCAATAAAATGCAAAAGTTCATGTTTTCCAGGACGCCATCTTCCTAGCAAGTGTCATGGCGTGAGCATGACGTGTACATCTAGGGAAATTTGAGGACACGAATTCCTATTAAGTTACACATCTGGTATATACTTCATCTGTGTCAGTGCTAATAATATGGGACTTGTTTAATCCACACGCCCTTTTTATATACAAAAGTGTCGTGATCTGTTGGCTCGCGTCATTTGAAATTTAATTAAACGGCACATCAACCACGTCATTTCAAACGTAGTGAAGTGATTTCAATTAACACGCGCGCATCCAAGTCACAAAACAGGAAAGTAAAGCAGAAGTGTAACTTGAGTCGGTGTTTATGTCCACGAAAATTTTAACTCGCTCACGCCATCCTGACTAGTACAGCCGGAAATTTTTATCAGGCTTTGGTAGGTACAAAGCGCCGGTTGTACTAGCCAGGATGGCGTGATTGATGACGAATCGCTTGTAAAAACGCGGACAAATACTTGCTTGAGTTACACTTCTGGAGTACCTTCCTATTCTGTGTCCAAGACAAGAGAAAGTAATTTTGCACATTAAAGAGAGCTACTATCTAGTGGCTTTCCCTCCTGGGGCCGGTTGTATAAAAACGTAATTAACTCTAACTGTAGTTAGCGTTAATCACTGTAGTTAAATCCTTAACTGTAATTAGTTAACTACATGACTTAACTGCGTTGCACAAAACGTAGTTAGTCGGATAGTTAACTAATCACGTAGTGAACTGTGCGTGGGGCTTGCGTGGGGCGTTTAAACACAAAATTACATAAAGTAAGCAGCAAAAAACGACCGCCGACAAACATTTTCAACATGATTGTGGACTCGTATTTTGCAAATAGGCGGGAATTTTATTCAAAACACTAGAAAAACAATGAAAAATATACAAGAAAACAAGGAAAAACCACCCCAAAAATCATAAAAGAATGCAGTTTTTCCTTGAGATGCCCACGTTAAACCAAGGTAATGCTGTTTGGCAATTATATATCAGTGTTTCTTGGTGTAATGGACCATACTTCGTCTTCGAGAAATCGTCCTGTGCAAAAATATGTTCTGTTTTCGTAAAAACACCAAAGCGATAGCGTTTGAAGAGTTTATATTGTCAGGAAACATTCACAGGGAAGATAGCGATTGAAAATCTCAGGTAAACGTTGCTTTTCATTGTTGTTTTATTGAAAAATGTTGTTCACTCCTATACAAACGCCATTTTTAACTACGTTTTGGACAGTTAACTATACCCAAAAGCATAGTTAACTTTAACTACTTTTTAACTGCAGATAAGGCTAACTACACTTTTATACAACCGGCTTAACTACGTGATTAAAGTTAACTATTTTTTAAGGCTTTTTAACTACTTTTTAACTGCAGTTAGCGCTAACTACGTTTTTATACAACCGGCCCCTGATCTATAGTATTGTCACAGATGAAGTATATACCAGATGTGTAACTTAATAGGACTTCGTGTCCTCAAATTTCCCTAGATGTACACGTCATGCTCACGCCATGACACTTGCTAGGAAGATGGCGTCCAGGAAAACATGAACTTTTGCATTTTATTGCGGCTTTCTTGGATCAAATTTATGGTTAAACAATCAAGAGCATCATTTGTTGAATGTTTAAAGTTGGTAAAAGCAATTAAAGTTGTAGAAAAGGTGCTGAAAACATTTTTGAGAGCAATGATCTACTACCAAATGACGAATAATCACGCGAGCGACACTTGCCATAGGGAAGCCCAAACAAGCGGGTTTTATTAAATAAAATCTGTAATTAAAACGTTTGAGTATGCAATTAGCAATAAAATTGCTGTTAGAATCATGCACGTAGTGTGCTCCGGTCGCGCTGTGATTTGCCTATATAATTAGTGACGTATCCTACTATGTTATTGGGAAGGACGGAAAGTATTGCTCATTTGTCTATATATTGACAAATTTAAAAGACAAATTTCTGTAGAAAAACGGCACGTCAACTGCTAAATGTCTATCGTAGGTTTAAGTTGAATAATCCACCTATATTATTATCATAAAATTAGTGTGGAATCTAAAGGAAAGCACTGGAAAAAACGTGCAAAAGTTTCGTAAATTTACCGAAATATTCGTGAATATATGCGGTATGTAAGAGTAATATAGAGGCCGTTCGACCCGGATTTTTAGGGGGCCGCAGGGGGCCGCAAGGGGGCCGCATCATTATATATGCAGGTAATTACTATGCAAGGGGGCCGCATCATTATATATGCAGGTAATTACTATGCAAGGGGGCCGCATCATTATATATGCAAGTAATTACTATGCAAGGGGGGCCGCATCATTATATATGCAGGTAATTAAGGGGGCCGCACAAATGAGAGTGCGTAGTGACGTCACGCGGGCAGGTTTAAACACGATCGGGCGAAACTTGCTGACTACGCATTTTTTAGCGTCACTCCTCGTGTATGATACAATGGAGGGATTAATGTTGACTTACTATGAATGGTTGTTTGATTTAACGAGCGTCTGTATAAAATCGACAAGCGTCTTGTAACAAGCATAGTTCTCCATTTGACAACGCTCTTACTGGAGGTCTTTTGGTGAAACTTGTATTCGGAGAAAAAGTACTTGCAAGAGAATGGCACAGCAACATCGAGAGAATATTTGGTAAGTTTAATTTAAACTGAAAATTAATATAATATCCAGAGTTTTCTGTATGTAATTGACTTCTATATTTTGTAGGAGAGACCATTTCATGGCAGAGTTGGAAAATGACGAGGTCAATCGCCAGCTTTGTGCCGTGGACACTTTTTCTTGGTCACCCCAAACTCAGGAGCAAATTCTGGCTGAATGGAACGACTGGCGAAACGAATCGGAGAAGACGGAGTTATGTTGTTCTGAATGTGGCAAAACGTTTACACGGTCCAACGACCTAAAGCGCCATACTAGGCGAAACACACTGGAGAACGACCATTTAAATGTATCGAATGTGGTAAGGATTTTGCGTCTCGTAACAAGTTGAAACGGCATGAAAAAATCCACAAGGAGAAGTCATTGGAATGTCATAGATGTCATAAGAAATTTAATCGCAAAGTAAGTTGATATTACCGGACTATTGTGAAATAATTCGCTTGTATTTGATATTGTAAGTTTTCCCTTTAAGGATAAATTAAACGACCACATCAAGACGCACGAGAGACGTTGTGCCGAAAGGGAATATACATGTAATGTATGTGGTGAGATGTTTCGAAATATATTCCCCTTACAAGCCCATCAGCGTGATGTCCATCAGACTGGTGGTGGTAGACGTACTAAGACGCCGACCCGGCGAACGAAAAGGCAAAGAACTGATGAACCAGGTATGTATAAATGAAAATATTTCAATTACTAATTTTGTATTTATACAGATATTTTTTTCTCTTTTAAGAACCGCCAACATCTTCGACATCGGTGAACGAAGGTAAGAGAGTATATATTCTGTGTAATAATTTGAGTTAAAATCACACTAATACATTTTTCTCCTTTTCAGGGGCATCTACGTCTACAGTCGTCAACGAAGGTATGAAATTCAATTTTTTATACCGTATATAGTATATTGATTGTGGTGATTTGATGTGTATATTGACAATGTTAATTACTCGGTTTTAAAACATTGCCTGAAATCCTAACGTTTACATTTGAAAAATATTTTCATGCTGTTTTCATGTTGTTTCACTGTTTGTGTTTTGAAAACCTGATAAAAATATTCGAGTAACTTTTAAGCGTGGGTTTATAGTGTGGAGTGTTCCTAATTATTCGTGTTAGACTTATGTTCATTTGCTTTAGAACTATTAATTTATGTCATTGTACGAGTATTTATCATTTAGTAACATTCGCTAGCGTTTTATAGTGAGGTAAAAATAATTTTTGTTGCGTGGGTTTATCATGTTGCTATGTGAAATTTGCATGTTACTAATTTATTCATGTTAGACTTATGTCGATTTTTTATGAATCGGGTGTTTGTATGACAAAATTAGTGAGAAGCTCTAGACAAAAATAAAGAATCGGGTGTTATTTCTATAGGACCCCAACCGTTCCCTCAAGATCCCCTATTACCCCCATCTAACCTGCCTTCCCAACTTCACCGAGATCATTGGCGTGCTATACGTACGCGACAGAGTCGAGACAACCGAGTGCAAGATTGGTACAACTATCGTCTAAGCTCAGCGAATATGGGTCAACTTGTCAACGATATAGACCGTATATTTGAAGATCAAACCACGGTCTTTAAGTTAAATCTATCTTTTGGTTTCGTATTGTTTAACAACGAGACACAGCAAATGCAATACCACCACCCCTCAGCAAACAACAACCGTGTTTTCGACTCCCCATTCCAAATCCATAATCGCGAGGATTTGGTCCAAGTGCGTACAGCGTTGGAAAACATCGACATTCATGAATGGGCTCGACAACAGCGTCCCAACTCCAAATGGATTGTCATGGATTTCACCAACGTTACCTTCTACGTCACCAAACGTCGAGACCATCCCATAGGTCGCAGTGTCCGGCTACCCAATTACGTACTGGAGAGCCGTGCCATCGTGTCGCTCGACTGTAACGAACACACCGGATTACCATACGAAGACAAGCTTTGTTTCTTTCGTTGTTTGGCCCTACACCGTGGTTGTCATCCCCATAACCTAGAACGTGATACTCAGCATTTTTATGAACAATATTCGGAAGATGATGATTTTGACGGTGTTACCCTAGAGGAACTACCTGAACTGGAAAAGTTATTCGAGTTAAACATTTACGTGTATCGCCTTACAGAGCTACACGACGAGGACGAAGGCAAGACCTCCATTGTGGCTCAACTGATACAGCGCTCCCACCGTAGATATACCAATTCGATGTATCTGAACCTCTACGGTAGTCACTTCAGCTACATTAAGAATTTGGCCATGTATTCCAAGTCCTACTGTTGTTGCAAATGTGACAAAATGTGGAAAACGGCAAAAGCCTTGAACAAGCACGAGCGAACATGCGAAGCAACTATACGTCATGTTTTCCCTGGCGGTGCCTACAAAGTTCCACAAACCATCTTCGATCTACTGGCCGATGAAGGAATCGAAATCCCTGAAGACCTCAAGTACTTCCCTTATCGTGCCACCTTTGACTTTGAGTGTTATTTCAAACGTGAAGCCGAACATCCACGAAATACAGCAAAGTTAACGTGGGAAGCCGAACATATCCCCTTGAGTGTCTCTGTTTGCTCCAACGTCCCTGGTTATGATCAACCCAAATGCTTCGTCTCGTCTGGCAGTACAAGTGAAATGATCCAACAGTTCGTGGAATATTTGGTTGAGGTCAGCCAAGAAAGTTATGGATTGCTGCTGGACCAATTCTCTGACGTTTTTCGTCAAATTGATGAACGAGTTAATGAGGTATAATTCATACGTATTAGATTCTTAGTATATTTCTTATCCTTAATATTTTTTCTTATATCTTTAGGTAGGGGAAAACGAGGTTATGGAAGTTGTCGCGGGGGAGGACAATGAGGTAAATTATAGGAAGGTTATATTTGCACTTATATTCTTTATATTCTAATATATCTTATGTTTTAGCAAAATACAGAGGAACAGATGATAGAGGAAATGGTGGGATGTTTGATGGGGCTGAATGATGAGGTATATAACATAAGGTTTGAGCTCAACAGTGGTCTTTCCAGTGCTTACCATATGTGTACCTTTTAGGTGAGTGAAGATGTGTGTGGGGTAGATGAAGACGAAGTGGATAAAGACGTTGAAGAGAGAGTAAGTATCACACTCATGATCCATTTTAGCGGTTATATAGATTAGTAGGGATGTGCAAGTATCTTGCTTTTTACTTATGACACCTTTTCATTTATTTAGGATGTGGTCCATCCTCTACTCAAACTCCAAGATAAATTGTCAGAATACTTACAAGAGCTACCAATTCTTGGATTCAACTCTGGTAAATATGATATTAACGCTGCGAAAAACCCCTTCTTTTCACATCTCGTCAAACACGAACAAGTTAAGTTTGTGATAAAAAGGAACAATAACCACATGTGTCTTAAGACTCAACACTTAAAATTCCTCGATATCACAAACTATCTGGCTCCGGGATTTAGTTACGAACAGTTCCTCAAAGCGTACGAGTGCTCCCAGACCAAAGGCTACTTCCCGTACGAGTGGGTCGACTCCCTCGACAAACTCAATCATTGCTCCTTACCACCACGCGAAACCTTTCATTCCACTCTATCCGGAACCGACATCACCGAGGAACAGTACGAGTATTGCCAGGGTGTATGGGACGAACAGAATATGACAACTTTCCGCGACTTTCTCGTGTGGTATAACAACCTTGACGTAGTCCCCTTCCTTGAAGCAATTGATAAAATGAGTAATTTCTGGCAAGAAAGGAACATTGATATGTTTAAGGACGGTGTGAGTGTGCCTGGCTTGACTATGAAATATTTATTTTCAAACATTCCAGGCACCTACTTCTCCTTGTTCAGCGAGAAGGACAAGGATATGTATTATTCAATGAAGGATAATAACGTAGGGGGCCCCAGCATTATCTTTAACAGATACCACGAGAAAGAGAAATCATCCATACGGAAGGAAGAAATGCGAGCCAGAGGAAAAGAATCGAAACCCTGCAAGAATGTAGTTGGTTACGATGCCAATGCGCTCTACTTGTGGGCCATCATGCAAGACATGCCAACGGGGCAGTACACAAGACGGTTAGAGGAGGACGGGTTTAAGAAACGGTGGAGTGGGAAAATGGCGATCGAATGGTTAGAATGGCAAGCGTACAGTCGCGGCATTAGTATCAGACACGAGTACAACAACACGGAGAAAAGAATTGGCACTCGTCGTCTCCCTGTTGACGGTTTTCACGCTGAATCACAAACGGTGTTTCAGTTTCATGGTAAGTTGAAATTAGTTAAGATTAATTAGCTAGGATTAAGTTAATTGTGTGGGAGTAAGTTAATGAGTTTTTAGCGATTGCGTGGGCTTGCAGGATAACTTTATTTTTCTTTTGTAGGTTTAACTGTATTGTACTTTATTCTACTAGGATGTTATTGGCATGGCCACAACTGCCAACTTAACGAAGGGAAAGAAGTCAACGAGAAGCGTGATAAGCCCATGAAAGAACTCCTTGAAGAGACAAAAAGAAACAGTGCCTATATCACGAAGCAGGGATTCAATCTCGTTGAATGTTGGGAATGTGAGTGGCGAGATATGAAGAAACGAAACAGCGCGCTGCAACGATTCATCGCCACCCATCTGCGTCGACCACTGGATAAAGTGAAAACCATGACCAAACAGTCCATTATCAACGCAGTGAAGAATGATAAACTATTTGGATGTGTGGAGTGTGATATCCACGTACCTGAGAGTTTGCGAGAATACTTCAAAGAGATGTGCCCCATCTTCAAGAATACCGAAATATGTCGAGAAGACATCGGTGAGTTCATGAAGAGCTACGCCGAAGAAAACAACATCATGCCCCGACCCCGGCGAAGTCTCATTGGAAGTATGATCGGAAAGAAGATAATGTTGGCAACCCCTCTTCTAAAGTGGTATTTAGAACATGGTTTAGAGGTACGTTTTAAATATTAAAAACTTGTAAATTGCAGCAGAAAATGTTTAACAAATTGTATTATCGTTTTAGGTAACACACGTCTACCAGATAGTCGAGTATACCCCTAAGCCATGCTTCAAACCTTTCGGTGACGCTGTATCGGATGCTCGTCGTGCTGGTGATGCAGACCCCTCCAAAGCCATCATCGCGGACACGATGAAATTGGTCGGGAATAGGTGAGTTTTAAAATCACGCTGTCGTGACGTATTCAAGAAATACTCATTTTTTGTATTTCTATACAGCTCATACGGGAAGACCATCACCAACAAAGAGCGTCATCGCAAGGTGGATTACTGCAACGATGATGAGGTTTCTGAATTAATCAACTCACCATTCTACCGCCAAATGAACGTGATCGACGATGACACCTACGAAGTGGAAAGTGCTAAGAAGAAAATTAAGTTGGACTTACCACTACAGGTATGTATTGCATGATCATTTTGTCACTAGAAATATAAATTAATAAATTATTCTTATTTTACAGGTGGGGTTCTTCGTGTACCAGTATGCGAAACTCCGAATGTTACAGTTTTACTACGACTGTTTAGATACATACCTTGACCGTTCCGATTATGAGTATTGCGAGATGGATACAGACAGTGCCTATATCGCTATTAGTGGTGAAAGTGTTGAAGAATTGGTCAAGCCTGGTTTAAGAGAGGTGTTTGAGAACGATAAATGTAACTGGTTTCCTCGTTCCGATACAACTGAACATGCGAAATACGACAGGAGAAAACCGGGATTGTTTAAAGTGGAATGGGAAGGGGATGGAATTGTATCTTTATGTAGTAAGACGTATTATTGTTTTGGGGAGAAAGATAAGTATAGTTGCAAGGGTGTAAATAAGAAAAATAATGTAATTAATAAAGATAAATACTTAGATGTGCTTTTAAGTAAACGTAGTGGGTCGGGTGTAAATAGGGGTTTTAGGGTTTTAAATAATACTATGTGTACATATGTTCAAGTTAAA